ATCCAACCATCCATCTATCATCCATGCAAACATCCATCCATCCATGCATACATACATACATACAACATGCATACATACATATATACAGTACCTCTATCCAATCTACCATCCATCATCCATCCATCCATCCATACATACATACATACATAAATACATACATACATACATGCAGTACATCTCTCCAACCATCCATCCGTCATCCATCCAAACATCCATCCATCCATCCATACAACATACGTACATACATACATACAGTACATCCATCCAACCATCCATCCATCATCCATCCAAACATCCATCCATACATACATACACACAACATGCATACATACATACAGTACATCTATCATCCATCCATACATCCATCCAAACATCCATCCATCCATCCATCCATGCATACATACAACATGCATACATACATACATACATACATACATACATACATACATACATACATACATACATACATACATACATACATACATACATACATACATACATACATACATGCATGCATACAGTTTGAGTGTGTGAGTTATTTTCATTACTTATGAACTTATTACTTATCATTACTTATTTGCTGACCTTGACAGGAACAATTACACATTTATCTACATATTATGTAGGACTGTGCATGTGACAAATAAAGTTGATCTTATCTTTAATGAAGAGCCAAGCCCTTGACAGGTGTTATGATGACTCCACACCTGGTCAAATCCCACTTTAATGATGTTGATGGTTGTTGGTTGAGGATCCAGAGAGCATGTGACACTGTTCTACCATCTGTTCTGAGCTGAGTGGCTCCATCTTGGAATACTGTATTTGTGTGGAAAAGGCTAGAAATCATCTCAGTCTGTGTTGAACAGACACTTTATCTGAATAAAAACACTTAAATGGCCAGAAGCACCCTGTACAGATCAAACTCTTCAGGTATGTTCAGGGTGGTGTTCTTCTGCTTGTCTGTCTTCCACCTGGGGTCCAGCACAGGGCTGTACAGGTGAAGTTACCTGGGTCTTTCCTTTTCCACCTTCTCTTCCTGATGATGGTCTTCATGCTCTCTTGATGGAAACGAGCAAGCAGCTGTTCACCATGAGGAAACTAAGAAGCTTAGAACTTCTGGGAGAGGCTGATGAGCAACAATGACTGAGAGATAGAGGAAGCTAAGCTAACAGAAACAACAACTAAACATACGCTGAACAATGAAACCAAAACACCCAGAAAACCCGACACCTTGACACACGGCTGCCATCTGATGATCGATGGTTCAACAGCTCAGCTTTCACATGGTTTTTCCACGGCTCCATATCAGCTGTTCAGGTAAACGACTCCACCTGATGTGTCTGAGTCCTGTTACTGGAACGCATGAGAGGACCACACACCTCCACCAGGCTCATTCTGCAACATCTGCTGCTTTGTGTTGTCGGTTTGTTTACACATTAAATGTAGATTTACTTTATTTATAACTCATATGATTATGAACCAATATGTGGTTAGAATTAGGCACATGAGCTATGATGTAAGGTTAAAATACACAAAAACAAGTTCCTGTTTAGAAAAACATCTTTATAATCTGTCAGATGATGAAATACTGTTTATATATGATCATAATACGTTAAATATCACCTGCTGCCTTTCACATCAGGGATTGACACTCAGACCATCTGGTGGTGACTAAATGATGAAGATCATTTTGTAAATAAATTGTTTTCACACCACGTTCAGTATGATATGAGGTTAGAGATGACTAACAGCCTGGTGGCTGAGGCAACAGGTTGATTTATTTGTATTTCTTTATTTTATTAAGAACAACAATTATCAAACCAAGGCAAACAATGCTAATACAAAGTGACAATTAGGTTTCACAGGTTGAGTTGTATAGATTCAAAAAACATGAAATAATACAAAAATTCAATTCAATTTATTTATATAGTGCCACGTCACAACAGAAGTGCACTCTCAGGACATTATTACCTGCAGTGTCCCCTCATTGAGGACTGAACTTGGCAAAAGGATCTTCTCCTACTCCGCTCCTGTTTCCTGGAATATCTTGTAAAAAGATATGAAGCTCTCCACGTTGACCTCTCTAAGCGACTTTAAACAATTACTGTTAAGTTCCTGACAAAAACCAACACAGACATGTTCCTGTTTTTAGTTTTCCACATCACTACAGTCTAGCTGTTTTTTATTTATTTATTTTTTTTATACTATTTTCTTTCATTTATTATGCTCAATTTATATGCTTTCTTTTATGGTTGTCTACAGTTATCATTCTTTGTTTAAATCAAGTCTCTCTTGTAAATGAGTCCCTGAGGCTCATTGAGACTAACCTGTATAATAAAGGTTGAATGAATAACAAGGAACAAATGAAATAGGTTTACATCAAATCAAAGTTGTTCAACAAAATACAAAGTTGTTGAGAAGATTTACTTTTAAGGTTGAGGCAACAGGTCCGGGAGAGAAACCCCAGTCGCCATATTTCCGACTGTCCATGAAACACCCACGGGAACCACTGCTGCGCATGCGCTGTAGCTGCTGGCCTCAGGGAGCGGACTGGGTGAGGGCAGGAAGCGTCGTGGGGAGTCGGGTGTCCGGAGTCTCCTGGTGTCCCGAGGCTGCGGATCCTGGCTCAAGTCCCGGAGCTGCTCAAGGTAGGAAGACCCCACCTGTCCACACCTGTCCCCACCTGTCCTCACTTGTCCTCACCTGTCCTCACCTGTCATGAGTACAGTAGAACTTTTCTACCTGTCGGGTTCACACACCTGGACCGAGCTCCGTCTGTTTTAAACAGAAACATTATCGCGCGCCGATGAAAGCGAGGTTTGTCTGTCTGTTAGCAAAATATCTTATCTTATCTCACTGGACGGATTTTAATTAACGTGGTACAATGTATAATTAGACAGAGTTGTACAACACGTGTTTTGGTGACAGCCTTCAACATGGCTGCAGCCAAACAACTTTAAACACAAAGCATTTTAAAACAAAATAATAAATAAATAAATAAAACATCCGCGTTGGTTGTTTATCACTTTAAAATCTTCATATAGTCAACACCTCTTTATAAGCAATGTAGAAGTCTTTATTTTAATTTTCCCTTTTTATCAGTTTGCCTGAAACATGTTTTAAAAATATATATTTTCTAGTAGATTTGGAGTGAACTGTATGAAAAAAGCTCAACTATTAAACGAATCGCTGCTTTTTAAACTTTTTTTAATTCAAACTTAATCTAAAATCAGATTTGTATCATTAGTGTCAGTGTGCTGCACCTAAAGCAACTTCCTGGACTGCAAAATGAAATTATGTTTAGCTGTTGTTGATTTGACTGTAAAAATAATTCAGATGTTATATTTGGTCTAAGATCCGAGGCTCCACTTCAGAGGGTCTGAAGGGCCACATGTGTCCCCGGAGCCACCGCTTGCTGAGCCCAGAACAGAAACATGATTTTACAGCAGCAGATTTCATCCATTTAGGAATGTATCAAAGTTTTTGTACTAATCTGCAATAATGTTAAATGTATAAATAAATAAATGTTGGGTTTACCTCCATAAAGGCTTTCATTGGGAAGGACGGGGTTGTTTATATTCACGTTTCCTCTGGAAAAGCCTGTCTCAGTTGTTCAAGCTGAGGAGTGGCAGACTGCTGCTCAGCTTGATAAAGGTCGCTCGTGTTCACACTTGCTGTTTATAACACCGATGTCTCCTCTTACTGGGGGATTTAAATAGTCAATGTTTGTAGTTTTCAGCATGAGTGTTTTCTGCACTGGAATTGGGTTTATTATTATTATTATTATTTATTTTTATTATTTATATTTATTCAACCTTTATTTAGACAGGTTAATCCCATTGAGCCTCTGGGACTCATTTACAAGAGAGACCTGATATAATTATATTATATAATTTTATATTATCTTTTTAATTACTTTTTTAATTATTATAATTTTTATATTAATTATATAATTATATTATAATTATTTTTATTTTCTGTGATGCCTCAGACATGTTTTGCTTGTCTGAGGCATCACAGAGTGACAGAGCGGTTTCATCCACCACCCTCTCCTCAAATGTCTGGACGACATTAAGACATGGATGGCTTCAAATTTTCTAAGTTTTAACGACCAGAAGACTGAAGTCATTGTCTTTAGCCCTAGCTCAGCTGCCGCCTCTTATCCTGTGAACCTGGACTCCCTTCAGCCTTATCTGAAGCACTCTGTTAAAACCCTTGGAGTGGTTTTTGACTCCGATTTTAAGTTCGATAAACAGATCAGTTCGGTTCTGCAGAGAAGCTTCTTCCAACTGCGGCAGGTAGCTAAGCTCAAGCCAGTGCTGTCTAGACCCGACCTTGAGACACTAGTCCATGCATTCATCACAACCCGCCTGGACTATTGTAATTCACTGTATGCTGGGGTCAGCCAGGCCTCTATCTCACGGCTACAGCTCGTCCAGAATGCTGCAGCTCGGCTCTTAACCGGTACACCGAGGTATGAGCACATCACACCAGTTCTGTCCTCCCTACACTGGCTTCCTGTGAGAACTAGGATTGATTTCAAAATTCTCCTCCTGACCTATAAGTGCCTAAATGGCCTCGCACCCATCTACCTCTCTGAGCTACTGGAACCATATATTCCCTCTCGGGCTCTGAGATCATCCGATCAGCTGCTTTTGGTTGTTCCAAAAACACGACTGAAGCTCCGAGGAGATCGGGCGTTTTCAGTCATGGGTCCCAAACTGTGGAACAACCTACCCCCCAACATTAGGCATGCCACCTCCCTTCCTGTGTTCAAATCCCTGCTAAAAACATATCTGTTCTCTCTGGCGTTTCATACTGTGTGAGTTGATTTAGTATATGTTCCATGTCTTCATTTTAATGCTGTTGTTTTAATTTTTTAAGGTATATTCTTACTGCTTTTTATTTCTCAGTGTTACCCTTAGTGTTAAGCACTTTGATAACAGTCTATCTGTTTTAAATTGTGCTCTATAAATAAATATGACTTGACTTGACTTGACCACCAGATGCAATGGAGGAGCTAGGGGGTGGCCAATGGTGGCTATGGCCCCCCATATGTTAATCTTTGGTCACCCCAACATCCATCTCAATCATTTGAGGAAACCATATTTTTAAACAATATAAAAGGTAGAAAGCATAATTTCCCAAAATAATTGGGGCGGCTGGTTTTCCTGTGAATATGGTGGTGGCCATCTTGGATTTTGACGTGGCAACCCAGTTTTTGAAAGGTACCTTTCTTAGTCCTACTTTCAAGGATTCAAGTTTTTTTAATTATCATTCACATCATGGTGGAACAAAACTCTGTGCATAGACTAGTAGTGTAACGGTACACGTGGGTGCATTTAACCGTTTCAAAGTCAGTCAGAGTCCGAGATTCGTTATTGTCATTCACACCACATGTGGTTCATGTGGTGGAGCGAAATTATGTACACAGGGTCCTAGTTACATCCAACAATAAAATGTAAAAGAAAAACAATGATAACATCTAAGATATGAACTAAGAAAAACATCAACTAAATATACACTAAGCACTAATAGCATTGTGTAATAGTTTTGGTACGGCATGTTCGGTTCGGTCCACGTACGTACCATTTCGGTTAATTTTTCACTCATTAAATTTTATTTACAAGAGATTATGCGTCGCGTAACTAAAGTTCCTAAGCGTGTTTCAGCACAGTGTTATTAATTGTTGCATAGCCTTGCAGCACGCGTAGCATTAGCAGCCTAGCAGGCAACAAACATGCCATCTCATTGTGGTCTCCTATTTGGGAACATTACGGCTTTCTTGTTAAAAGACAAGTGTAAATCCAAAGCTGTGCGTCAACGTTGTTTCACGGAGATTGGATCTGCAGCAGCAACACGTCTAACTTATTAACACACTCGAAACGACATCATCCGTCTCTTCTACAAGCAAGAAAAGCAGCTTGTTGCAAAGAGCGATAACAGCAGCATTTAAACAACCTTTATCAGGTAATTCAGATCGGTCCAGAGCAATAACACAAGCTGCAGGAGTTTTTAAAGTTCTGGATCTATGTCTAAATGTTGTTGATGCTCCAGCTTTAAAGTTATCGAGCTCCGTTACAACATCCCGTCACGTCAACACTTCAGCCAAAAAGTTGTAGCAGCACTTTATGAAAAAGATAAAACTGATCGTCAACAAGCCCTGGACCAGATTAAAGCCCTGCCCTGATGATGATGATGATGGTGATGATGAGGAGGGAGAGAATATTCAAACACCTCATAAAAAAGAAATGATGACCATTTAAGAAGAGGTGTTGTTATTGTACTATTGTGATCTAATTAACTTTTTTAATTTAAAATTATAATCTTATTAACTCTTTTTTTAATCTCTGTATTTGCAGTCTGAGGATGATAGCAGCTGCGTCTTCTTCATCCACCAGATCACTTCCAGCTAAGAACTCTGTAATTAATGAACTTGTTTACTTGGCATATTTTCAAAATAAACATTTTGTAAGTCTTTATTTTGGCCTTTTTTGTACCAAAAATTAACCGAACCGAACCCTTCTTGAAACTGAACTGAACCAAAATGGGATTTTAGCGTACCGTTACTAGGGATGGGGCTGATCCGGTATCTGCATCGTGCTCCGATACCAGCATAAGATAGGTATCGGATGTTTCCAATCCATGATGCATGTCTGTGTCTGCACTAGTGAAGATTTTCATGTTTGAAACCGTCTCTTTGTTTGGCTTCAAACTATGTAATGGATTTCCTGAACGGCGGCGTGTCTCATGAACCCAGAGTAATAAGAGCCGCCTCACATTCAGGAAATCCAGTTCATAGTTTGCAGCCAGCTACAACGTGAGGACTGAGTTAGCAGCACTGTGGATAACAGCTAACCAACTTTTCATCTAAACATGTCCGCTGTGTGGAAATATTTTACACTAGAAACACCACAAAACAAGACAGCATCGTGCAATGTCTGCAGAGCCATAGCACCACATTAAACCGCAGTAAAGTTAGTTTTACGTTGGACATTCGAGCTTCGGGGCTTCAGCGGTCTGCTCCTCTCGCTCAACCCGAAGCAGGCAGCCCAACCCCGGCCAGCCGCACCCAATCCACTCTGCTCAGTCTGCCCGTCTCAGAGGAGGAGCAGACTGAGCATGGCTGATCAAAATCATACTTCCTGTTTCGAACTGAACAAGAAGAACACATCGCTGAAGCCACGGAGCTCGAATGTTTACACAGAAGTTGCTAAACTTCATCATAATTAATGACCAACCACTATCAGCTGTAGAAAATGAAGGGTTTCACAGCTTGATACTTGCAATCAAGATATACAGTAGTTTACCCTCCAGAGATATTTATCAGTACAACAGTAGACAATCATAAAAAAGCACATGAACTGAAAATTATGTAAAAAAAACGAAACAAAAACAGCTACATAATAAAGCGATGTAAAATACTAAAAACAGGAACATGTCTATTGGTTTATACCATGAACTTAGCAGATGTTTAAAGCCATTTAATTATTATTATTTTTTTTTTATTCATTTAAAAGAAACTAAATAAAACAAATTCATCAAAAATAAAACATTGAATGAAGAGTGTGCAGAAAGAAGAAAACAAATTGCGGGATTTAATTCTAACTTTAAAACTTATCCAACATTAATAAAATTTACCTCAAGT